GATTTATTATTATTACTACTACTACTACTACTACTACTACTACTACTACTACTACTACTACTACTACTACATTTAATCACCAGTTATAATGTTAAGTAAGCACAGTTGGTCGGTGGGTACACATTTGGTGAGCACGGTGGCTACTTTTTGTGTTGGTTGTGGGAGGGTCTTTTTTCTGTTCTTTTTCTGTTCTATTCTGTTCTTTTTGTTTTATTTTTCATCTCTTTACTATCACATTTTTTTCTCTTATTCCTTTATTTCTAACGCAACAAATACTTGTACACAGGCGCACAAACTCACACATGCTCATATTCCATACATCCAAATACTGTACTTAATAATGAAACATATGCTTCATTTAACTACAAACACATCACATACATTTTTTACATATATCTTACATGCTACATAGGTATTCTCAAAATCTTGACTAATCATCACTCACTGTCAATGGCTGTCCCTGAGTGTCCCTACTGTTATGATAACGGGCATGGTTTAATTTTATTCTCACAAATARTGCAATGGGTTGTTTAAGGTTTGTCACATGGAATTTAAATGGAGCCGGTACCCAACAGAAAAGATATAGAGTTTTTAACCAGCTTAAAAGATTAAAGGCAGATGTTGTATTARTACAAGAAATTCATAAATTAAATTCAACTGTGGATGATCTTWAATCTCCTGAGTTCCCTAACGTATTCTCAGCCTGTCATAAATAAAGACATAGAGGGGTAGCAACATTAATACATAAAAATATCAACTTCACGGTATTAGATACAGTTATTGACCCGAAGGGTAGATATATAATATTAAATTTTTCTCTATTTAGCCAAAAATATTGTATTGCAAACATATATGGTCCAAATGTGGATGATACCTCATTTTTTCATGATTTCTTTTCTGTTCTATCAAATCACCTGGATTGCTCACTGCTTCTTGGAGACAATTTCAACTTTGGTCTAATTAATAACATTGACAGGATGAATACGGCTGGAGCTCAGCGCAGTTGGCAATCCACAAACATAGTTAAACAATATATGAGTGATTATGGACTTTGAGATGCATGGCGTGCTCTTCACCCTGACACTAAAGAATATACGTTCTTCTCACATGTTCATCACTCTTATTCTCGCCTGGACTATTTTTTAGTCAGCAGTTCATTGCTGACCAATATTTTAGACAGTGAGATTCACCCTATTGCTGTCAGTGATCATGNGGATTACTTTCTGCTTTTGTGCAGCTTCTCGCTGTCTGTGGTGTCCGCCGTGGAAGGTAAGACCCCCCCCCCCACACACACACACACACACACACACACTTTTGCTCCTAGCAGGTTTAGATTTCCCTTCCTTCCAAACAAAGTTTGTCACACATGAACCCCTCTGGATCAAAGCCCAATAATTTTACAATGCTTCACATCTGATCTCTGATGTTTAACTTCTGCACGCTCCACTCATGTGGCAATTTTACTGAAATAGCCACTTGAGAAACAAAAAAAAAAATCATGAGATTAAAAAGGAGTCAGGGAGTGAATGAAAGATGTGTCTAAAAAATTGTTCTGAGCACTACCAAAGTTGGTAAAACATGTGTGCTTGTTTAATGTTGGTGTGGGAGGCTGATGGTAGCAGGGAGAGAGGGATATGTCTGTGGCTGCTAGTGTTTAGGTTTAGCAGTATCTGATGACAGCTAGCTGTTCTTGAATGTGGCTACAAGCTGCCCGCACTGCTGCTACAGCAGTAGATCTCACTAAAGTGAAAAAGCTGAAGGAACACTCGGCGTCACTGACACCCAACTGGATGTATGAACAGATGAAATCTACGACAAAACGGGTGTGAGTCAGTGTGCAGCAAAAATGACTGCTGTGATATTCTGGTAAATTAAACTTATTCAGTTTCTTGCCAAAAGTTGAATGAGAAAAGTGAAAGTTTTTTTAGCCAAAATAATGAGTAACAGGTAGCAGCCAGTTGTGCGGCTCATGAGCCTTTGTTCCTGGTTATAAATGATGGATATTATAGCTTCCATAATAGCATTTAAAACCTGAATGGTTCTCTTTCTGTGTTGTATTTGTATCATTTCTGTCAGCAGACTGGTTCCTACAATATTTTGATGAAAATGATTCAGAGGAGGGAGATGCAAGCGGAGCGTAAGTCATCCTGCCTGCAGGTCCCCAGGTGTTCATCCCTGCTCTACACAGAGGGCAGAGGAGGATCTTCTGATATATTTGGTGAAAGATTTGTTTGTTGGCTGCAGACTGGAGGTTGATTTTATCAAATATTCTGTGGCATTTTGTATTTTGTTTCACTCACTTATGCAAAGATATCCAAACAAATGTAGAACTGATATTAAAACCAAAACATTTGATCAAATAAAGGCATAGCATTCATCGAAGGACTAAAATCTGTTCAACATTTCATGGGCTATTTCTCTGTGATATATAAATGCTACTTTGGAGTATTACTTGTTATGTCTCAAATAGAAGATATTCCACCGCGAGGTGCATTACCTGTGAATGGACAAGCATCTAAAAGATTGTATAGGTTGTTTAACATCTTTATCACATGCCCCTTTTCTGAAAATCTCTATACAAGAAGCACTATGAAGTGAAACAGTCAGGCATTCATTGCTAGATACCTGTTTTTATTAAGCCTGTGGATATTTTATGGTTGAGAGGACTGAGTTTCATTGGCTAAACGCAGTGTGTTGTTTTAGGACTCTTGCAGCTTCTCGATTAGAAGTCATTTTGGTCTACACCTCATTCTGCAGACCATAAAGAGCAAAACCTCAAAGAATGTGCATGTGCAAGGCTTTGTGTGGAGTAACAACACAAGAATAGAAGTAAAAATCGGAGGAAACACAAACGGAGAAGAGTAGGCAGATCAAAAGAACTTGGGCGAAACATGAGAGTCTTTTTCATTATTCCCATGGTTGAACCCTTCACAGACGGAACAACTTTTTCTTTCTCACTTTCTCACATGCACACACAGCCATTAACACACACATAAACACACGCACAGGTCGGCGATCTTGCTGACCACCCAGACAGTGCCCTCTGGGCCCCACCTCTTTCCTCGCTCTGAGGCACTTTTAGCTGAGAAAAACTACACCCTTCACTTCCTTTCCCTCCATCCTTCCCTTTAGTCCCTCTCTCTCTCTCTCTCTCTCTCTCTCTCTCTCTCTCTCTCTCTCTCTCTCTCTCTCTCTCTCTCTCTCTCTCTCTGTGCCCTTTTTCATGTTGTAACAACTCATAAATGAAGGAGACTTTGACCCCCCTGAGTAAAAAGTTCCCAATTGCCTTCGTTAATCTGCTGTGCGCAGGAGTGGCTTATGCTCTCGCTATGTTCTGACATCTTGTTCAAAGTCCCAATTGTAAATATCTAACATACTAAAAAGAATTTTATTAAGCTGACCTATCTCTGTATTATTTTACAAATATTTGTACCCCTTAGAACCTGTGACCAGATCTTTAAAAGCTATACAGCCAGGCATCTTTTAAATAGCTTTAATCAAAATGACATGAAAACTCCTTTTGGCCCATTTTTGCTATCTCTGTGATCACAGGTTACAGTGCTTTTCCACATTAGAGGACACTCTACCAAAACTCTTCAAACCACACCTGAATAATCTACAGTAAAGCCCTTGAAAGGTTTAAAACAAAAGTGTCTTATTATACATACAGACACAAATTTGTATATTTTGTAGTGACAAATTAAAAAAAAACATAAGTTAGTTACAAAGACTCTTTCAAGCTTTTGTACAGCTAGTATAATGCTGTCAATAAAATTCTTTTTAAATTCACCCTGAAAGCAAAACCATACCATTAAAATGAATTTTAATGGTATGATTGATCAAGACCTATATTGATCACAATATTTTATTACGTAGACTTGAAGTTGATATTGGGATTACAGGAACAGCTCTAAAATGGTTTGAGTCTTATTTAACTGATAGATTTCAGTTTGTTAATGTTAATAATGAATCTTCTGCTTACACCAGAGTTAGTCATGGAGTTCCTCAGGGTTCAGTGCTTGAACAAATCCTCTTTACTTCATATATACTTCCATTAGGAAAAGTTATTAAACAGCATGGGATCAATTGCCATTGTTACGCTGATGATACTCAATTATATTTATCCATGAAACCTGATGAATCCAACCAGTTACTTAAACTACAAGCATGTCTCATAGACATAAAAATATGGATGACTCTTAATTTTCTACTTCTAAACTCAAATAAGATGGAGGTTATGGTTTTTGGACCTGAAGAGGGATCAAGTATGCAGCCTTTCACCTCCTCTGGATGGCATTAATCAGTTCTAATGTAAAGAACTTGGTGTTATTTTTGGTCAGGGTATGTCTTTTAACCCCCACATGTTACCAGGACCACCTTCTTCCACCTGTGTAATATCACTAAAATTATAAACAGTCTGTCCAAAAATGATGCGGAAAAACTGATTCATGCATTTATCACATCTAGGTTCGATTACTGTAATTCTTTATTATGTGGGCATCCAAAAAAACCCTCCTTAATAAGTCTTCAGTTAATCCAGAATGCTGCTGCAAGAGTTTTAATGAGAGTTGGAAGGAGAGATCATATTTCTCCAGTTTTAGCTTCTCTCCGTTGGCCCCCTGTCAAATTCAGAATAGATTTTAAAATATTACTCCTAACATACAAAGCTCTTAACAACCAAGCTCCATCTTTTATTAAACATCTTATTGTTCCATGCTTTCCTAACAGAGCACTTCGCTCTCAGACTGCAGGTTTACTTGTGGTTCCTCGAGTTTCTAAAAGTAGAATGGGAGGTGTCATGGACTAATTATTTCTGTATCACCTTGACACTGAGCACTGTTCATATCCCGTGATATCTTCCGGACGTCAGCATCACGTTGACCTACTTTCACGTAACAGGATGAGGCAGGTTGGGATTGGTTGTTCATTATCACATGATGTTAGCTGACAGTATATCATTGCTTGGCAGCCTATGACGGGGGGGCGCACACTCAACAGACTTCCTGATTGTTTTCTGTTCTCTGTCTGCCCATTAATAAATGACTTTACYAACATACCCGCAAGACCTTTTGTCTTTTTGACACCTTTTCGCTGTGTTTCTGTCCATCTTGCCCCGAGTTTCCTTCACAGGAGGCAGAGCTTTCATTTATCAAGCTCCTCTCTTGTGGAACCAACTTCCAGTTTCTGTCCATGAGGCTGACACTCTGTCTACTTTTAACTCTGTCTACGTTTACTTTTAAAGACTGAAGACTTTCCTTTTTGATAAATCATATAGTTAGACTTAGGTTTCCTGACTTATTCTTCATTTCTGTTGCTATAGACTTAGACTGCTGGAGCACAAACTGAGCACATTTCCTCACTCTGCTGTTGCTTCCATAAACTGATTAAAGTTGATTTCCATAAACTGATTAAAATTTCAGAGGACAGTGACTCGCCTACAACTTAGCAGGACCACAGGCATTGAGACCAGGCAGTCAATCAGGAGGAATAACAGATTTTATCTCGCACAAAGAGAGACAAGACAAGTCCAACAGTTATTTGGACAGGCAAAGCCACATGTGGAAGTACAACCAAGGGAACCAAACAGAGGTCAGAGGTCAGGTGGGATTCAGGTTTCCTGCTTCTAGCACCCCAGTGGAGCTAAAGCAAATACTTAAACCTTTATTATCATCATTAACATCATCATCATCATCATCATGATCATCACTGATCAGATCCATCTTCTAAAACACCTGAGTTTCTGTGTCGCATTTAAATCTTAAGTGAAGCGACTGTGAACTGACTGTAGTGAGGCTTAATTTGATAGTAAATACAGTTTATTAGTTTTATTACAAAATGTTTTTTCTCCCACTATTTGTCACGGTTTGCTGACACAAATGTACCAAAAGTTTTTGCATCTTATAATTTAGTCCTGGGCTTAATGTTGAAACCCAAATGTGGATTTCCCATGCATGTTCAGCATATTATGTACTCTTCATGCATGCCATTGTTTACTCAAGTCCAAAAGTCTGGGTATGTATGTGTGTGTGTGTGTTGTTGTTGGTGTGTGTGAATGTGTAGGGGGGGGGGTGTCCATGGGCCACTGCTGCCCTCTTTATAAACACATCAGTTGGGCTGACAGTGCACAACAGGAGGGAGAAAGAGCCCTGAGACAGCCCGGGACAGAGGCCTCGTAAAAAATCACTTCTAATTTATTTCCCTCCAAATTGGAAAGTGCACGCTCACACCTGACTAAATCATCACGCGTCAACTGGAGACGGTCCCCCAKT